GATCCATCACTAAATACTGCTCTATAATTTTTCAACTTAAATGAAGTATAAAATTGTATTTTTATATAATTCAGACTAATTAAAATTATTTTACTCGGGTTTATCCAGAAAATTGGTGCAGTTAAGTATTATAACTTGACCCTAACAATCTATACTTGGAGAGACTGATGACAAAATCACAAAATAAATGATACATAATTAATATATCCAAATTGAAATGTCTGAAAAATACCTATGGCAAAATAAAAATACTTGCATTTTACATTAGGTGTACATCTATAGAATTAGTGATTGAATTACCTGTTGGTTTGTGAGTCAATAGTCTTGATGTCACATACTTTTACAGATTTATTGGTTCAAGTCCAAAATCAAGACTTAATCCTAATCGTCACAAKGGGTGGGTTATGAGTGCATATCACATTCCAGAAATAAGTTTAAGAGATGAATAGGCCATTCTAAAAGAAGTTATGAGACAGTCAGTGTAACAATTAGAAAAAAATAACAATTGCGTTTACTTAATATTCCAATTTCATTGAACGATTGAATGAGATTAAACATAGGTAAGTATTCAGTCGATGACTTATGTTCGTGGCTTGGGGGAAGAAAAAACCTAAAAATTATTATTAGATAAGAGTATAAGACGATGACATTAATTAGTGATCATTTACTTAACACCTAGACACCAAACCAAAATTGAAAATAATGAGTACTTAGCAATGATCAAAACAATAATAAATAATAATGTAAAAAAAAAAATTTGCTATTAATAATATTGTTTGGTTTTTAGATTGCGCTTCCGAGAGAATACGATAACCGGGAGACTGATAACTCGCACAGTGTGTCTCTAAARCCGAAAACGAACGAAAAGCGAGACAAAAGTTTGTCAAACACTGTCAAAGGTATCTCGTTTATGACATCACGAATTCACGAGTCACGACATGAGTTTTGGTTCGGCTTCCCCGCGAGTTCCCGCTTCTGCAATAATTRCTAATTAGTATAATTTACAAAACGCCAAACGGTAAACGGTTATGGTGGTAAAATGGTATCACCAAGTTTATTTATGATATATTTGTATTGGTATTATAGTAATTTATTTTACAT